ATTTTTAATACTTATTTTTTTATTTATAAAATTTAAATTTAAAATCTTATTTAACTAAAATTAACTTCTTTTCACTCCAACAGGTAAAATTTAGACATCCTAATTTCAAATGTTAGTACCGTTTAGGTAAGACATTCTGATTTCAAATGTTAGCACACCGTTTAATCATGCAATCACGCGGTGAATAAAACAAATACAAGAGTTATGCACAAGATGACTTTACATTAGTATATGTTATTATTTATTATAAATATATTAGTTCCATGTGATAAATTAACAATAGTGTTTAACTCGAGTTCCTAAATGAGGTTGATATGATATCAACTTACATAGGATTTGGTAATAATACTCATTTAATTTGTTTTTTTCGGTAGCAGATAAGTTCCCGTGTGGATACAATTTTTAATAAAAATTCTGTTGAAAAAAAATTATTGTAGAAATATTACTTTTGTAAATAAAAAGAAAGAAAATAAATAAAAAATATATATATATTAATATCATTAAAACACAAATAAGAAATTATTACAGAATAATCAATTCAATACTTTTAAAATTTGTAATAAAATAAATAAAAAATTAATTTATAAAAAATTATAGTATTTTTCATAAATTATAATGTTTGATGCAATTGAAGTTTTTAAAATTTAAAAGATTTCTCACGACTTTAGCAAACATGCTCTAAAACTCATTTATTTAATTATTATTTTATTGATGAATAGGAAAGATCTTGGGCTGCCCAAGGAGTATCGTTTTGGGTAAAGCCCAACTCATTACGCACCCACTAATACCTTCCATTTTTCTTTTCTTTTATTTGTGAAGGCCCAATAAGAAGAGAAGCCCAGAAAAGAGACCCAAACAGCAAATATATATATATATATATATAAAATAGCGCTTCCAAGGCAGATTAAATGGGCTTGGCTGGCCCAAAACGACGTCAATTTAGACGTTTCATGCCGTTTTCTTTTCAAAATAATAACTGCCTGAAATGTCTTCAGTTCACTAAAAACCACTAAAAACCTCTCCCCAAATAGAATCTCGCGAAGAACTTCACTGTCCGCACCGCCACAATCTCTGTTTTGGCCCTTACCCTTTCATCAGCACCATCACTGACTCTCCACAGTTGCGCCCATGGCGAATTTACTCATACATTCAAGATCCTGCATTTAAATAGATTCTCACAGAAATCTTACTCAAATTTGTCAATTCGATTTACAACACAAAAATGGAAATCTGTCGATCGTTGTCTCTACCAAGTGCTGCCTCAATTCAATTAGCCAAGTGAGTTTGTTTTCAACTTTTAATCATTTTAAGGCGTAACTTTCCATATTTAGTTATTTAGTAAATTTTTTTAGAAAAGCAGGTCATACAATCCAAAGGATTCAGGAAGACTCCAAAGCTACCATAAAGGTCGCTCTTGCGATTACTATGAGTTGATGGATACCAGGTAATAAAATGAAAATTTTGTATCAGATTTGAGATTAATTGAAATTGATAAATTATTTAAGAAGAGTCGTAATTTCAATCTGGAAGCAAAGGATGCATGCCAAGTAGTTATTGAATGATAAGTTGATATGCATTTCTCTCTCTCTCTCTCTCTCTCTCTCCCTCTTTTTTTAAAAAAATTTATAGTTCAAGTTGTAACTATTCGTTTCTACAAAATATAAAGCATAATGTCCCCTGTGATGTCTTCCATAATTGCATTTATACTGCAAATATTCACAGACATTATACACTTATTTTTCTTTGGATTTCAATAATATTATAGCATTGGCCTGCTCTCCAATCCACCACTTATTCAAACAGCATACTTTGCGTTTTTCTGTTTGGAAATTGTCAGGCTTGAATGTTAATTAAACTTTCAAAATTTTATGATTCATGAATGTTTACTTTTGATGCAGTCATGATAGAAAAGTAAATCAATGCATGTTTCTAATTCCTCTCTTTCATGTAGTTGGCTTACACGTGGAATGGAAAGCAGGATTCTTTTCATCAAAGCTAGAGATTGCACCACAACAAAGACAACAGTAGGATGTTTTGCTTACAAAATTCAACCATGGGTACTGCATTTTGATAATCGTTTCACAAATAATTAGCATCAACTTTCAACTTTCAACTTTCAAAAAAAATTAAGGAGAACAACCTACAGAACACCTTTCCCATATATATATATGTGTGTGTGTGTGTGTGCGCGTGTATGTATGTATGTATGTATGTATGTATGTATGTATTTATGTATGTATGTATGTATGTATGTATGTATGCACTGGTTCCAACTAACATTAGTGCTTTTTCCTTCTATTTTTTAAAATTTATTTGATTTACTAGGATATTTTGTTGGCTGTGGACTAATTTATTTCTCCATTGGTTGTTATTGATTTGAAATCAGTTGAAAACTTTCTGTGCAATGTCCTTGCCGCACCAAAGGAGCTGAAGGTCATAGAGTAGATGGAACAGAAGAGATGTTGCCCAGATTTGGTTGAGAACAGCAGGTGGTTGTTGAAGATGCTAAAATTTCTCTCAGAGGAGCCCATATCAATCAAAGAGCTAAAGTTAAGAGCCTTTTTCTCTTTTTGTTTATCTTTTAACAATTTATTTGATTCCTGTGATATTTTTGTTGGTTGTGATTTATTTATTTCTCTTGGTAAGTAGTGATCACTCACAATAACATGACCACTAAGATTGTATCCAATGTTGGACCTTCTGAAGTTAGGTAAGCAGAAGTCAAATAGTTTCAAGTCCCTGTATAATATCTTTAACCAAAAAAAATTAAAGCTCAATTTACTTCAGTGCAGGATAGCTGAAGGTGTTTTATAAGAACACAGTAATGATTAAAGCTGATGGGGCCTAGATGGCAATTCAGCACAGCTACCATCAAGACCTCATTAAGGTGAGCATTAGCACTTTAATGTAATTCCTTAAACTACGTGGTACAAAATTATGGTGACAAGTTACTGATGCTGACCCATAATAATCTGAAGTCATATACAGAGAATGCCTTCATTCTGGAGAGTGTTAATTGCTTCTGAAAATCAGTAAGAACTAGCCAATCTTCTGTTAGGTTAACATAGAAAGATTATAATCTTAAATGCATATTGATAATAGTGGCCATATAATAAGGTTTCACTCTATGGTGCATTTAGATTATGTTGGAGGATTGGTTCTTGATTTTTGGCTTTGTCTTTAGGGTTCTTACTGAATTTCTTTGTAGTCTACCATTTGTAACTTTTCCCAACTTATTAAATACAACTTGCAGTTCGAACTAGAAATTTATTATTACGCTTTCATTGTTGACTGCATAGAATTATTTAAATTTTTACAACTTTTGTTAAAAGTGCAGGGATGCTACCTTTGAGAAAGAACTGGTTCTGGGTGAGGTTTAGAAGGTAGAGCAAGAAAACCTTAAGAAGCTTAAAGAAACCAGTAAGATACATCCTTCGAGATGTAAGAAACAAAGAAAGAGCTAAGAAGGGCTTAGCACGTTAGAAACAGAGAGAAAGATCCAAGGGCGAGAGAGCATAAAGGTAAAATATTTTTCGGTCTAGGGGTTCCTAATTTCCATTCTCCACCATGAGTTGAGTGATTTGGGTAGTGGTTGTGTGTAGTTGAAGTAGCTTAAAGATGCACTATGTTGTTCAAAATAAAAAAACGCTTTAGAGATGTACTAGAATCTTTAAGAAAAAACTATGCATAGGACCTAGCTACTATAAATTTTGAAATGAAAATAATGAAACAAATGCCACTTCTGAAAGATAGATTAGGTGGTGTTAAACTTGAGGTAAAATGGTGTTAATTTAACTGTGGTTAAAGGCAAGTTAATTCTATGGTTTGCTAACTGCTTGCTTTCTCCACAAAGTATCATATAAATGTCTTACCATTCTACGAGTAATTACAAATGTAAATCTTTTATTTTTAAACTGGAACATGGAAATAGTGTTATAATAGGTGAGATTAGAATGATGATATGGCATGGCGAAAAAAGGGGAATAATGATATGGCATAATGACACCAAATGTTTTGAAGTTTCCTATGTCAAACTATTTACTGTTAATTGATTGTGCTGTGACTACTCTTGCCTCTTGCGGCTATTTGGCAAGCAGGAAGCTAATATTGGACAATTACATGGCTCCTACTATATTAGGCAATAAAAAGAAATTTGAACTTCTAATAAGGTCATGTGTTTATTGCAGATAGTTGATCACTGCCATAACATTCAAGGATCTCATTACCTATATAGTTTTCAGTGTTTCGATGAAATCTTTTCTTTTATCGTTTGGTGGGTAAAATATATAAATTTTGTATCTAATTAATTGATTAAAAGAAACTTATCTAATTTGATGTTTATTTTCTTCTGCAAGTAGGGGCACATTTTTAATTAAATATATAAATAGATTAGTCAA